TGCTCTGTTTAATCTGAAGGCCCGAGCAAGTTTCATTTACCTGGCAACACAAGCTAGCTGAAATATGATTGGTTAAAAACTCTAGCATAATAAATAAGTTATTTATCGAGTGGCTTTCAATGTTATTTAAAATAACACTGAAAGCCACTCGACTTAAGTGGAAATAATATGACGTAAAGAATACAGAGAATAATTTTGTTAACATTTTTATGAAAATAAAATAACAAATTTATGTTATTGTCAGAAAAGTAAATTTACTTTTCTGAGAATGTTTAGGCCAGCAGAGAAGGCCTTGCTGGCCCTGAGGGTTCGCCACTGCAAGCTCCTTCATTATGTCTGTTGTCAGTACCGCTGCTAAAATACCACCAATGAAAAAAAAAAAAAGATTTTCAATGCGCTGCCCTCAGACGTAGGAACCCCCACCCCGCTGGTGTTCGCCCAACAACTTCACAAGCGCGCCGACTTCGCAAGTTGGACCTCCCAGTTCAGAGGCGCGTTCCAGTGCACTCTTCTTGGTCGTCGGTGGACAGTTCCGACATCCCAGCATCCTCAAACGCAGCATCAGTTGCTGAGGATACGGTGACTCGATTTGACGACGTTTGTGAGAAAGGATGGCTACAAGTGGAGCTAACGTTACGCAAACGCTGTTAGAATTGACAAGCACTCACTTCCAGAAGCTCTGTCAGCAACTGGTGAGTCGAGGGTCGTTGAAGGAGGGGACGTGCAGCACAGCGGAGGAGCTGTTGACCGTTTTGACTTCCTCGCTGGGCAAGAATGAAGCTTACAACCTTATAAAAGTTTCGCTCGAGGAGATTGGTAACATGGAGGAAAAACAAAGTGCCGGTAACTACTATTTTTCACATTTTGTAAATTCTTCACCACCAACAGACTGTGAAAAGTGCGACAGGATATGGACGGGAGAAGAAAGTTTTCTTTCACTTTCGACTGTGCAACGACGAGTCAAACGTGTTTTCAACGTCCAGTGCGGTGGTTCTGAACCTTCTTAGAGGTATCGAACCCAACCAGTTAATATGCACAGCCAGGGAACCCTTTATTTGTCATAAATAAATACGATTGTTTTGTTTTGTTTTTTTTTTTTACAAATTCAAGATATACAAAAAACCCACATTTCTTAAACACAGAAAAAACTTCATAAAATTACATGGCATAAGTATAGATTTTTAAAATTGTATAACGTACAATCACGACAGTCACACTGTGACTACTAAGCGAACGAAGTTTCCCACAGCACTGATTGTACAGTACAAGCCATGTAATGTGATCATCTGCAGGCAGTGATGGCCAATCGGGCATGTCATAACTGATTGAGTCGTTGTGTCTGAACCGATTCACCGAACCCCTAGGGTTCAATCGAACCCAGGTTAAGAACCACTGGTCCAGTGAGTCCTGGTGTCATTCGAGGGATACATTCCTCCAGGCGGATGCGCAATTTTGGGCGGATTCAACTCCATCCACCCATCCATCCATCCATCCATTTTCTGATCTGCTTATCCCCACAAGGGTTGTGGGGAGTGCTGGAGCCTATCTCAGCTGTTTTCAGGCAGTAGGTGGGGGACACCCTGAACTGGTTGCCAGACAATCGCAGCGTCTTCAACTCGTGTTTTTCAATCAATTTCTCACGTTCCTTTCTTGTGCAGTTTGAAAGATGCTGCGACTGTCCTTTGTCTTGGGTTCTGAAACACCTACCAAGCATGACTGTACCTGGAAATTCGTGCTCAACTTCCAAAGTGGCGTGATTCGGTGAAGTCAGAAGGTGGCCGTAATTTCCGGATGATGGTGTTTTCCTCAAGACAAAAATATCAATTATTTTCCCCTTAATCGGCCTCACAGTGAAGAGGTGCAGGGTTCCATCCCAGCGCTGGCCTTTCTGTGTGGAGTTTGCATGTTCTCCCCATGCCTGCGTGGGGACTCCGGTTTCCTCCCACATTCCAAAAACACGAATGGCAGGTTAATGGAAACACTCTAAACCATCCCTTGGTGTGATTGTGAGCGTGAATGGTCGTTTGCCCTGCGATTGGCTGGCAACCAGTTCAGGGTGTCCCCCGCGTTTTCAGGCAGTAGGTGGGGGACACCCTGAACTGGTTGCCAGACAATCGCAGCGTCTTCAACTCGTGTTTTTCAATCAATTTCTCACGTTCCTTTCTTGTGCAGTTTGAAAGATGCTGCGACTGTCCTTTGTCTTGGGTTCTGAAACACCTACCAAGCATGACTGTACCTGGAAATTCGTGCTCAACTTCCAAAGTGGCGTGATTCGGTGAAGTCAGAAGGTGGCCGTAATTTCCGGATGATGGTGTTTTCCTCAAGACAAAAATATCAATTATTTTCCCCTTAATCGGCCTCACAGTGAAGAGGTGCAGGGTTCCATCCCAGCGCTGGCCTTTCTGTGTGGAGTTTGCATGTTCTCCCCATGCCTGCGTGGGGACTCCGGTTTCCTCCCACATTCCAAAAACACGAATGGCAGGTTAATGGAAACACTCTAAACCATCCCTTGGTGTGATTGTGAGCGTGAATGGTCGTTTGCCCTGCGATTGGCTGGCAACCAGTTCAGGGTGTCCCCCGCCTACTGCCCGAAGACAGCTGGGAAAGGCTCCAGCAGGCCCGTGGTGAGGATAAGCAGATTAGATGCATGAATGCTCAGTTTGTAGTAAAAGAGTCTTTGTAAAGACAGTTTCAATAAGTCACACAACAAACACCGGAGAAAAGACTTTTTGCCAAGTATCACATTTTTTTAATGATAAGTTTCGTGTTTTTTTTTCCCCTGGTGGGGAAGCAATATGCTTCCGGAGTTCACCCCTCTTTTGCTTAAAAATAGAGGGCTTCACCCACCTCACGACTTCCTCCTCTGCTTCGGAGCGCCGAGTGCCAGTTTCTAGGTTTCAGTTTGAGTTTTTTTTCAAGATAGGGAATATTACAGGTGGTCAAACAATAGACCAACTAGTGCCCTTTTTAATTGGAATGCATGAAACAAGTGTTCATATCAAAGCCGATGCCGTTCCTATTGTCCAGCTAACTTGTGTGTGTACATGTGCACGTCTGTGTGTGAATGTGCGTTTGGGCTGGACAATTAATCAAAATTTAAATTCTCCTGTTGATCTTTAAAATGTTGTGATCAACCCCCCCCCCCCTGCAAAAAAAAACAAACAAAAAAAAAAACGTTTAATGTGCAGAACCCACGGTGCATTTAAAAGTTCCCAATATTGTAAAAGTACCCTGATTGCATGTTGGATCATATTTACTTTCAAAAACACTGCCATGTGTCGTTTCCTAAATCGTAAAATCACATAATAATGCCCTTTGTCAAAGTATTCATTTCCTCAAGCATTATATGACATGCATTGAGTTTGATCCGCTAGAATTAAATTCCTTTATTGAAGGTATTTAGGGGAAAAATGTTTGCTCCATCAACTCATGGAATGTCAGAATGTTGTCGTTACAACTCCCAATATCTTTTATTTGTGTTGCGCCTTTTTCCTGCCCATAAGCTGCTTTTCCTGGGCTGAACAAGCAATTCCACTTAGGTTAGGTTTAAACAGGAAAAGGAAGGAGTATCATGAAAGTATTTCCTGTCTTCTTGCCAGACACAACTCATGGCTTGCACAAGAGAATTGGTGGAAGACTTTTCCTTTTTTTTTTCTTTAGTCTCATTTGAGTATAAATAATCAGAAAGTGGGAGCTGTTAGTAGTGTGACTCAATATTCCTCCATGGTAGGGATCCATCCGCCGTAAACGAATGAGCGTCCCCGGATGAACCAACTAGTAGTACGAAAGAGTATTTGGGCACTGTAACCCTCTTCTGTCATTCTTCCCCACTGTCAAAAGCATTTCTTGAAGAAAAAATATTTGGGACTTTTAGCCTTACCATTACTTGCTTTAGTTTTGGTAATTTTTGCAACCCCCTGCAATTCCAGATTGTCAATTGAAGAGAACATCTGTAAATTTGTAACTGAATGTTTTTAGAAGCCGGCACCAGTGGCACCACCAGCGCCAGTGGCACCAGTCGCTGTAAGTCTTGTTCAATTTTCTCAATGACTTTAACTGAGCTAACAGATAAATAAGCTTGTATTTGACATGATTAAGTCAAAAGTAGATGAGCTTCTTCCTTCTACACATTTTGAGTCAACGAGCATTTTGAAATGCATGTTTACCATCACACGCAGCAACTTCAATATTGAGGGCTGTATTTTTGGAGGAAGACTAAAATCCTGCAAAGTACTGTCATCATAATTAGAGCGTGTTGTTGTGCTCAGTCGGAGGAAGATTTATAACAGGTCAATAGCAACTTTTTCAATGTTACAGTCATGTGGATAGTATAATGTTGCAGCTCCAAAGCAAACAGCTGTCGTGTTGGTTTGTAAAATATGCACATTATTAATTCACCAACACACCCAAGAAAATACAGACACGTCTCTGTTGGACTAAATGCCTTTTCAACTGCCGTCCAACTCGAGAGACGTTTATGGGCCGCCTCTGAAAAACCGTAAATTAATGATTATTTCACTGACACTCAGAAAAGCGAAAATAATGCAACAAAACAGAAAATCAAGTGACTAACATAAACAGTCTCCTACAATAGTACATTCGTTAATTATGGTTCAGGAGTTCTTAACATATAAGCACAATATGTTTTTATTCAGTCTTTTAGAAGTGGTTGATTTATTTGAGAATATAATACGGTGAGGTAAAACACTACCGTATTTTCTGGACTATATGTCGCAGTTTTTTTCATAGTTTAGCTGGGGGTGCGACTTATACTCTGGAGCGATTTATGGGTGAAATTATTAACACATTATTATATGATTTCATATGTTATTTTCACATTAAACCACAAGAGGCCGCTCTGGACCTGTATTGATAAAACCACGATGAGTCTGACGTAAGCGATGTAGAAGAGGAAGCGCTGCATCTTCTACCTCCGGAGTTGGTGGAGTTGTTTTAAAGTGACACAGAGGATGAAGATGTCATTGGATTTTGTGATTTGGAGTGACATTGATGGTTTGGTGAACTTGTTAGCATGCTCTTTATGCTATAGTTATCTGAATAACTCTTAATATATTACTTGAACATACCAGGCACGCTCTCAGTTCGTCGTTTATGCGTCATGTAACGTTAGCATATCATACACTTATTCAGCGTGTTGTTTTCTATTTTATTTTTATTTTAAATTGCCTTTCAAGATGGCATTTATGTTCTTGGTGTTGGATTTTATCAAATAAATTTCCCCCCAAAATGCGACTTATACTCATTTTTCTTCTTTATTATGCATTTTATGGTTGGTGCGACCTATACTCCGCAGCGACGTATCATCCGGAAAATACGGTAATTAAATTTTGCCAATAAATTTGAATGAAATCAATATTTAGATATGATCTTTTTTCCCTATTCTTAAGCACAATGTAAATGTTCACACGGCCTAATTTTAAAGTGACCTCCTATACTTTTCGGTCAAAAAAACTGTCTCATTGTTCTACTACTTAACGACGATATTCTAATGTTGGTCAGTCCAGTGGTATTTTGAGAGTATTTTTTTGGCATGGTACTTTTGTTGAAGACGTTTTTTCCAACAACTGGCATATATTTTCACAGTCATCACAGCACTCCAAACAACTGGCTCATAAACACACACGGAGCAGCAGCACATAAAAAATGCACAGAATGAATACACGTTGCAATACTCACGGACATACCGACTATTCTCCCTGCTCCTGGTCACTATGTTGGGACTGTAATGTTTTTGCGTGATGTCGCCGATCGAAAATTTGTCTGAAAAGCCTTTAAATTAGATTAAAGCAGCATAACTTGATTATTTCTCAGCATATTTCCACAATGATTTCATTTCATCTGCTACCCAGGTTTCAGTAAGAAGTGAATTCCAACAATAACAACAATAATCTGATGGGTTTTTATCTTAATTTAATGAGCACTCTGGAGTGACCGTCTGTTCATTCTGCCGGAGGTATCTGACCTGGCTTTTTCTGTTTGCTTTGTTTATCAGATGATTCTGCGCAAAGGGAGCTTCGACAACTGAAGCCTGTGTTCAGGACACAGGCGTTCTTACCACATTTACGTAAGCTGATGCGCGGTCTTGAAGAGGCTCAGGTCTTGAGTTTCATGGAAATGCATGAGATAGTGAAGGAGAATCCTAAGATGACACAACAAGCAGAGTCTCTGATTGCTCTGGTCCTCCACAAAGGTCCGCAAGAAAGCAGCAAGACGTTGTCTTTGCTGAAGCAAATAAATCCGACTCTTTTCAAAGCACCCGGTGAGTTGAAACTGCCCTCTGGTGACCATGCTCAGCCAATACAGTAAAACTAAATAAATAAATAAATAACATTGATCATAACAATAACTCTGATTATTATTTACAATGCATCCTGTTTGTGTGTGACACATGATATGTATTTTATTTTGTACCTGCAATGGAAGAAATAATTATTTCATCCCCTGCGGAATTTTCCAATTGACTGATTGCCAAAATAATTAGTTACAGGTTCAAATGCCTTATTGTGTATGGCAATGGAATGCACAGCAGTCAAGAGTGTATGATATAAAATTTACAAGCTGTTGTGCATTTCAACGGATGAAATATTGATTGCCTGCCAACAAGATTAGCTGGTGCTCAATTAGCAGGAGTCCCGAGTACCGTTCTCAACTTGTGTTTGAGGAATCAATTTCTTCCATTCCAAGCACTCTACCTCCACGTCTAAGAGTGGGGCTGTCAAAAGAAAGGGACAAGATTGTAGACCTGCACAAAGCCTGGATTGGGTGATAAAGCCTGCACCAAAACACCTGATGAGAAGGTGACATGATTCAGAGATGGAAGATGAACAAAGGGGCGTGTTCTTTCATGTGCTTAAGACGCACAACAGCGCACTTTATTGACTGCCCGCCTTATATTTGTAACTGTATGTTTTTAGAGGCCGGCACCAGCGGCACCGCCAGCACCAGTGGCACCAGCCGCTGTAAGTCTTGTTGTTTTTTCTTAAATGCCTTCAGCTGAGCTACCATTTAAATGAGTGTGTATTCGACATGATTATGGAGAAAGGTGTTGAGCTTCTCTTATTACACATTTTGAGTCAACGAGCATTTTGAAACGCATGTCTCACATAACAAGCATCAAGTTCCACATTGAGGTCTGTGCATTTGGATTAAGAGTTCATTCTTTAAAAGAACTGTCATTATTACAGTTCTTTTCAGTTATTATCATATTGTAGCTGGTCTGGACGGCACAATTGCAGACTGGTTAGCCCGTCTGCCTGATAGTACAGAAGTCTAGGGTTCAAATTCGGGCTGTGCGGAATTTGCATGTTCTCCCCTTGCCTGCGTGGGTTTTCTCCGGGTACTCCTGTTTCCTCCCTCGCTTAAAAAATAAGCATTGTTGGTTGCTCTTTATTGTCCCTAGGTGTGAGTGTGAATGGTTGTTTGTCTATGTGTGCCCTGCGATTGGTCAGCAACCAGTTTAGGGTGTCCCCCGCCAACTGCCCGAAGACAGCTGGGATGGGCTGCAGCACGCCCACGACCCTCGTGAAGATAAAGCGGTTCGCAACTCAACTGTATTTCTCGAGCACTTTAAAACAACCACCGCTGTATACAAAGTGCTGTACATGGAGCAAATATCACATGTACAACAATAAACAATAAATTAATAACGAAGACAGTAAAAAGCATAAAAAACAACAACTGAACAACCTTCGAATCAGAGTCAAACAGTACAACTTGATTATTTGTCAGGGGTGTCGCAAAGCCAAACGCAAGTGGAAAAAAGACAAATTGCAGGTCTCTTATCAAATCTGGAAAGACTGCTGGCGTAACTGCTGGCCAAAAGAAAATATCTATATATAATATATAATATCTGTCAGACTTTATTCAAGCTGACCGTCACAACCCACGCATACTGTTTAAAACCTTTTTTTTTTTTTTTAATAAGAAAAAGAAAACTTCTTGAATTGCTATGCACAGTTTGAAACTTTCCATTTCGTGTTCTGAAATTGTAACAAATTGATTCCAATAATGATGTGCTTTTATTTTAATTCATGAGCACTTGGAAATGATCGTATGTTCTCGCCATCTGAGCGACGGTTTTTGATCTGACTTTTTCCATTTGCATTGCTTTTCAGATGATCCTGTACAACTAGAGCTTCAACAGTTGTGGCCTGAATTTATATCACGGGTGTCATTTTCACTTTTATGTGACCTGTTGGATGACCTTGATGACGATCATGTCTTGAGTGGCAGGGACAGACAATGGATAATGTCTCAGATGTCTTTCATGAGACAACAAGCAGAGTCTCTGATTGATCTGCTCTTCCACAAAGGTCCAGAAACAAGCAGGAAGACATTGTTTTTCCTAAAACAAAGACATTCTGCTCTTTTTAAAGTCCGTAAGTGCTTCAATTGGATCATAAAGGTATCTTGAACCCAGTAATAAAAGAACATCTGTCAGTTTGTACCTAAATGTTTTTTTTTTTTTTTAGAAGCTGGCACAAGCAGCACCAGCGACACCAGTGGCGCCGGTGACTGTAAGTCTTATTCTTTGTCTTCAGTGACTTGAGCTGAGCTGCCATTTAATTAAACGAGCTCTTATATGACATGATTACGGAGAAAAGAGTTGGCTTTTACAGCTACAAATTTTGGGTCAGCAAGCACTTTGAAACTCATTTCTCACCATGACAAGCATCAGGTTCAATATGGAGATCTGTTTTGGGATAAAATGTAGTTTTCTTAAAAGTAATGATTATTTCACCGGCGAGCTATTCTCGATCTGAGGAAGGTATATAACAGGTGTATCACAATGGCAACTTTTTCCAAAATTAATTTGTATAGGTTCAATGCGCCTCCGCTAGTCAACGCACGTCATTCGAATTCATATTGCGTTTGTGAAATTAAAAGCAGTTCAACAGTACAATCCACCAGTACGATACACCTGTTAGAAACCTTCCTGAGTTTTTGTCCATCTCAAGGGGCAGCCATTTTGCCACTTGCTGTCGACTGAATATGACAAGAGTTGCTCAGGGCTCAGGTCACAGCCAATCCTGGCTCAGCTTCAGAAAACAGGTGAGCCGTGATCGGTCGTGAGCTGAGCTCTGCGCGACTGTTATGCCATTTTCAATTGACAGAAAGTGGCAAAATGGCCGCCCCCATGAGATGGGTAGATTTTGCTGTTTGGTTCATATTCCACAAATGCAATATCAATCAAAATGCAGTGTTTTGACAAATTGAGGCACATAGAATACTCTTTCCTTGACAATATATTTCATGGTTGTCCTCCATGACTCCAACAACTGCTACTTTAGCACACACGGAGTAGCAATATGTACTACACATACGACAACAATCTGAGACACACAGAATATTCTCTCTGCTCTTGCTCACTAGGGAGGGACGTTGTGTAAAACGTTTGAGAACCACTGGCATTGACGTTTTAGTAAACAACTGCCAATGTTTTTGTGTGATCTCGCATGTCGAAAATCTGTCTGAAAAGGCTTCAAAGAGCAAAAGAGTTCGGCTTGAGTATTTCTCAATATACTTCCACAATGCTTTCGTTTCATCTGCTGGTCGGGGTTCAGTTAAAAATTTTCACCAATAAGCTCACACGGGCTGAAATTCCGGTTCGTTCTCCAAGTTGCCGGATGTAAATTACTAAGACACTTCAGATGACAACACTTAAAAGCTCAACTTCAGGAGTGTCAATGAAACATTATTTGTGGGAAAAGCAGTGTGGGTCGTGGAATAGGTCATGTACTTTCGTAATCTGTCAGTCATTTTTCTTGAATGTATTTGTTAGCCTTTCAGGTGCACATTCCATGTGTGTTACAACATATCAAGATGATGGTGCCCACTTGTCATGTTACTCGATACACCGTTAGAAACTTCCCCACATTTTCTTCTCTGAAATGGTCACAAATGAATTCCAATAATGTGACGTGCTTGTCATGTACGTGCAACGGTAGAGGACCTAGAAGCAGGGAGGCAGGAGAAGCAGGGCGTACTGAACAACATGTATTTGCGAAAACACTTGCATAGGCAGTCTGGAAAAACCAACTCGAAAGCATGAACCAAGTGCTGAAAAGATCAAAATTCAAAGTAGCACAAAGACACCAGGAAATAAAACACATCACTACAAAACAACGTGACAGTAACACAAGGATCCAACAGCAAGTGACAGCTTGGCAGTCTTTTTAATCAGACGGGTAATAGTGACATGATGACGAACAGCTGTGGTGCTGGAGGAGAAGCCCTCTGACGCCACCTACTGAAGAGAACCAAAAACAGCACCGTGACAGTGTTTATATTTTCAGTAATGAGCACTTTGGAATCACCTTATGTCCTCCCCTGTTTAAGACACCTGACCTGATTTTCTCTGGTTGCATTGTTTTCCAGATGACTCCGTCCAAATAGAGTTTCAGCAGTTGAGGCCTGACTTTGTAAAACAGGTGTCATTTTCACTTTTATATGAACTTTTGTTGGAGCTTTCAAAGGCTGACGTCTTGAGTGGCACTGAACGTCGAAAGATTCTGTTTGCGATCTCTCGATTGAGAAAAGAAGCAGACTTTCTGATTGATCTGCTCCTCGACAAAGATCCAGAAGCAAGCCGGAAGATGTTGTTTTTCCTAAAGCAAAGAGATCCCGCTTTTTTTAAAGTCCGTAAGTTTTTTTTGTTGTCGTTTGTTTTGTTTTTGGTCATTGGGAAATATTACAGTTGTTTTCACCACTGTAAATATTTCTACTGCTACTACTTCTGTTGCTACTTCTATTCAGGCAATCAGAATAACTCCTAGTCTAACCAGAACCAACAATAAATTACAGAGGCCCTTTCATGAGCACTTGGGAATGAGCGTATATTCTCCTTGTCTGACACATCCGACTGTTCTGTTTGTATTGTTTTCAGCTGCCCGTACCCATGGACAGTTGCTGCCTCAAGAGCGACTAAAACTTAGAACACTTGAAGAGCTTCCGGCATTGAGGTCTGACTTGATGTCACAGAGTGTTTTGTTTCGGCTGATGAACAGTCTTGAAGTGGATCATGTCTTGAGTTCCGGGGAAAAGAGTATGATCATCTCTTCCAACCCTGACATCAGAAGTATGGTGTTCCATTTGAATCATGTCGTCCTCCTGAAAGGTTCAGAAGCAAGCAAGAAGATGCTGCATTGCTTGAGTCGGATAGAGCCTCGACTCTTCGGTGAGTGGTAGCTTCCCTTAGCCAGCTTTTTGTAACCATCATCTGCCATTTTTTTTTTTTTTAATCCCCCAGACTTTCACGTCTTTTTATCACTGCAACACGACAACATACCTTCCTCCTTTGTAATCTGTCCTTTTTATGTGTGACATGTTTATTATAAACGGTGATGTGATTATCCGTTGAATCAAGAAAGTAAATAGTAAGAGTCAGATAGAGAGAAGTAGGCTATGATGTCTCAAAAAGAAACAGTGCAATGCCATATTCTCAAGAAATCCAAGAGCAATCGAGAAAGGGATTGAGATCTGTCAGTTTGGAAAAGGTTACAAGGTCATTTCCAAGGTTTGGGACTCAGCCGAGCCACGTTGAGCCCATATCCACAAATGGACAAAACTGGGAAAAATCACGACCCGAGTGGTAACCCAACTAAGATTTCTGCAAGAATGACAACTCATCCAGGAGGTCACAGCGGAGTGCAAAAGGAATCCTGTCACAAAAATCACAGTGCAGTCTAAAAGTTATGACATCTCACATATCACAGTAAAACTAGAACAGGTCAAAGGGAATCAAGCCAATCCTACCTACTACCGCTCTTACTTTGAGCACAATATCCAGAACAAACTGGGATGTGTCAACCTATTCTCCTCCTTTCCACAGGGCACTGCCTTGTTGAGCAATACAAAGGCATGCTGGTTGACTTGGTGAGAGATGTTGACATTCTAATAAAGGATCTCAATACAAGGGGAGTTGCTGTAAGCGATGAGATCAAAGCCATCCACAGCCCTCAGGAGAAGATGTCGAAAGTCATTGATCATCTGAAATCTGTGGAACAGAAACTGATCTTCTACAGCATCCTTGAGGAACGGGAGCCACGAGCACTCGACACAGTATTAAGGAAAATGTAAGTCTTTAAACCGGTGAAAGGCTTTTGGGATGTGAATGTGTGAGGCTAATTCTTTTTGCTTTGGAACAAAAAAAATTGGGTTTGATGAGATATAAAGGTGAATGTAGGAAGAGCCCATTTTTTCAGTTTTTGCCAGGTATTTACATCTCGATATGATAAACACACAAACGCAGTTTGGCATTTCATTGCACACTTTGTTTGAATCCACCCATTTTCCACGGGAGTACTTGTGTGGCATGTACGTGGCCAAATGTGTCCTATTACCTTGATGATTCAAACACCGTATAGCCCGAACGTGTATACAGGTAGTCGGTTTCAGATTTGGTGTTTGCCTGTAAAGAATGTGGCTAAAATGTCCACCCTTATCCCCTAACCTCTCACTCACTCTATCGTCCCGCACTTCTGCAGTGGCCTATTGAGGCGCATTAAAACCTCAGAGTAATTTGTTTTTCTGCTCACAACACAATGTGGCTTATGGTAACCTGTTGACTGAACGTTAATGCTCACTACATTTCCAAGTGCACTGTGTCTGGTTTTGAGTGCACCACAATTTCTGTGGACAACCATACAAAATGGCGCAGGCCCGATATAGTGCAATATATAGGGAATACAGGTGGGTCATATGGGCTCTATTTTTTCCCAAAATTGGATACAAGTAATTTGATAATATTACACCAAAAAAAAAAAAAAACCTCTAAATCTGCGTGTACTTCACGAAACAATATTAGATCAACAGCTTTAGATTTAAATTGCTTCATACATCTTACATGAAACATTTCAAATGATGTCCTGGCAACTTAGTGTTTTTTTTCTTTTTCATCGATTTTTGTGAGCATGTCACTGAAATGTTTCTTGACAGACACCATCACAGTTTGAGCTGCAGTCAGGTATTGGTCGACCAGTGCCAACTGCTACGGCAGTTGAAATGAGAAAAGGTGTTGAACTCCATTTCTGGTGAATATGTCTGACAACAATTTCAAAAAGTGTCTCCATAATGGGAGATGGCCATCATGCAACGGTCTACCACTTCCAGCTCCGACAGCACTTAGATTGAAAGAATTACTCATATTTGCATTGATGTAAGGTGACTTTTGCCATGCAAGTCATCCGTTTGTAGATGGTTCTTAACATTGGCGGCAGATGCCGCTGTTAGCGACGTCATTGCAAATACATTTGGAAGTGACAACAAATGCAGCCGAATTCTTTTCACCGACAGTTAACGAAATATTCATCCACATACTACACGTGACATAGTCGCAAATGTTTTTATGATGCGGAGTACGAGCGCGTAAGAACTGAATGTTAAGCCCATATCGCGCATCCAGCTACCTTTGAAGTCATGTAGTTGACGGCGGCCTTTTACTCGCTTCCCTTCAGTCTGCCTCTTAAATTACATCGCTGAGACGGAAGGCTCCTGCATAGTTGAAGCAATGCTGTCTTCTCACGGCTGCTGCTACAGTCACATGACTGAATGCGGTCTGCTGATTTGCATAATGACGACAGCACTTCTTGCTACTTTCCAGCCAATCAACAGACTCTTTGTTTGTTTTTTTTTTTTGTTTTTTGAGGCAGTATTAATACTCAGTCATGTTAAACTGCATATCATGAAAGCAACGATGTAGACCTGCAAAGGCGCACAGATTTGAATGTTGTCAAGAAATTTTGGGACTTGACTTTGACGAAAGAAACACTGCGAGAGCTGCAAAGAAGGCCCCAAAATAAAACTGGTGACACGATTAATAGCTTTCAAGGGACAGGCATGTAGGTGACACTCAAAACAATGCCACCGTTTACTTTTGCGGGATATAACCATGAAGCTGAGCCTTGTCTAGATCAGAAATCCGTGACGCAGATTCTACTGACTGTTCAGCAGGGCCCGCGCTATGCCCATAGGTACGGCTAAAGGTTGTACCAGAAGCCCAAAAACATTGGTACAAGCGGATTAAGTTGTTTGGGATAGGCAGTGAAGATTGAAAACAATTTACACGGGCAGACACCAGACGCAAATGACCAAACCTTTTGCTTCATATGGTATGTGTATTTAAGTTTTTTTTTTCCCCTCTAACCACTTTCAGGGAAACTGAGCAACCATGGATGAAGGGCGACTTTGAAATGGTCACAGTAAGTACATCTTCAACAAAATGTTGATTGTCTTCCTCTTTGTGGATTCTTTATGTGATCCCAAATTGAACAATGAAATGACATTTTGAAAATGGAGGCCCGTTCTGAATACCATGCAACGTTTCATTGCATGTTTTGTCCCTTTAACCAGGAGAGGTGGTTCACTGAAATTGCAACAGTTGCCGAAGACGAATGGACTAAGCTTGAACCGGAAGTGAGCTGTGATGATGGGGTCACCTGGTGCAGGTGAATCACATTTTCAATACTCTCACTACGCTCGGTGGGAAACATAATTGATGGCGTTGCGCCCATTATTTCAACAGAATTAATTAATTCTGAATGTAAGACAACACATCATAGGATGGGATGTAAAGGATATTTTTTAAATGTAGCTCTGGGAATGTTTATATTAATGCAATACAATACGTCTTTATTGATATCGCGCCTTCACAAATTTGGTGGGGTGATCAGTGCTCTACATTATATTCAGTGGCAACATTCAGCATCATTCTCGATTTTGGTGTCATTTACGTGATTTTTTTTTCCACCTTCAATTTTAGTTTTAACTATTTTGTTCATTTTCATCAACCATAATAATCTGGTGTCCCACCAGTTTCCTCTCTGTGCCAGGTAAATATGAGTGCAGTGTCTCAGGTCTGCGCTGGAGTTGTAAGGATTCGCCTCTGAGCTTTAAGTATCGCTTTGGCAAATGGTGGGAGCACAAGAACACAATGGAGGCCCTCCAGCACATGGCTGCAGGCCCCTTATTGGACATCACAGTGACTGATGGGCGGTTTGATGAGGTCTATCTGCCACACTGGATCTGCACGGGTAAGTGAGGATGGCTGCAGAGAAAAGACATTGTCGGGTCGTGTGCAAATTAACAATGGTGCATTTTCTCTTGTGCAGCTGTTGATCCTACAATTTTCGAGAAGTTTGCTGTCTTGCATTCAGATAATGATGGAGTTAGTATGGAAAACGTGCCCGAGGTCACACCATCCCATGTCAAGCTACCGCACACAGATTTTTCTGCAAGAGGAGTGCTCACCCGGATCAAGCGTTGGGCTGGCTTTCTTGTGTCTCTGAAGTGCAAAGTGTTCATCTACAAGACCAAGAAAGCATTCCTGACGCTACATGTTTATCTGATCCCGAGCGACCCTGCTCTTGAAGCAGTAATTATCTCTTTTCATGGCACAAGTGTGATCGCTGCAGACCAGATAATTTAATTTAACTTTTGTTGCTGAAGAGCTGATTTTGTGACTGTAGTGTGTTTCTCCATCGCAGGAACTACAAAAGACAACTTCTCTTTTAGGCTATGAAAGGATTATGAAGTCTTACCCCCAGGGGGCCTTGGAAATGGATGACCAATTCAACCTCAAAACTGATGTTGATGGTGCAACAATAAGCCCAAAGGTATGGCTGAACTGCCTTACACAGTAGCTCAACACAAATAATTCTACTCATTGGTTGACTTCAAAAAGTTGTTATCGGAAGCCTGACACCGTATACCACGCTGCCATCTACTTTGTCACCAATGCTCCCCTGAACACTCATCACGGCGGACCGTAATCCCTGTTTTTGGGCCCTCTTTTTACTCACAATTTCACTTGTCTATGTTTATCGATGAAACACCCTTCGGCAAGATCCCAATATATTTTTGCTCAGGGTTTGAAAAACACTGCTGTAGATAATTGCTGCACCTGTTTTTAGCCCGTTTAAAATCTTCTTCGCCATGTCCTATATGGCATTTAATGTGTTGTGTCACAATGTTTAATTAAGCTCCTTGTAACCCAAGACCACACTACTTAGGATTTACCCAGTGATGGGAAAATGAAGCTTCAAAATGCTTCATGAAGCACCTGCTGTATTTTTTTGAGTCCTCACTGTTGGCTTAAAGAAAGGGGTTTAAGAAATGGCAAGTCAGTGTGCTTTCCAGTCCTATGTTGAACAGAGTGCCATCTTGAGGAGTCCAAAAAAATACAACTCGTCCATGACGCATCTTGAAGCTTCATTTTCTCATCACAAGCTTGACCTTTTTTTCGATATTCTGCTCCAAACGACTGGAACACTCTGCAACAAGTAATGAAACTCACCTCATTCATTTAAAAGGTTGGTGGAGGGTACTGTAGATCAGGGGTGTCAAACTCATTTTTCTCGTGGGCCACATTTTTGTTACCGTTTCCCTTGGAGGGCCGTAATGACTGAAACCATATAAAAACGTCAATAATAATGGTTTATTCGACTATTGTTTAAATTACTGTAATGAGGGGTTTGGTAAGAAGAAAATGCTTACAATATGTCTCTTATTTATTACATATGAGAATTTTATCATGGAAGTTGACATGTTTGATTTGCTTTTATGGGCCACATAAAATGATGTGGCGGGCCAAATCTGGCCCCCGGGCCTTGACTTTGACCCTTGTCCTGTAGATCAGTGTTTTTCAAACTTTTTTGAGCCAAGGCACACTTCTTTCAGTGGAAAAATCTCGCAGCACACCGCTAGCTGAAAATGTGAAAACAAAACACTTATTTGAATAATGAATGTGTTATATTGTTATTATAACCGTTTTTGGCATTGAAGAATGACATTATAACAGCTTGAATTGGAATCAAATGAACACAAAGAAAAAAGTATTTTCTCATCTTTCATATTTATTGTTTTACCGTCGTCCTGCATTCATGCGTCACAAATTCGCTTGTCTCTCGTCTAAACACAAGGCAATTGGCTAGCTGTTGCTGCTCCCTAGCGGTATGGGAGGGTACTACACGATTACTTTCTGGGCGATAGGCACACTGGCATATAAATTGGATATTTTCCCGCGGCACATCTGACAATGTCTTGCGGCACACTGGTGTGCTGCGGCACAGGGTTTGAAAAACACTGCTGTAGATGATTGCTGCACCTGTTTTTAGCCCGTTTAAAATCTTCTTCGCCATGTCCTATATGGCATTTAATGTGTTGTGTCACAATGTAACTGATGGGCTGTCATGGCAAATGAGAATATGTTCTGCCTGGATAAATTAAAGTTAAAAAAAATAAACAAAATGTGTATGGACATGAAATGATCAACAATGCTGGTATTTTCACTTGACTTGAATGGTTGTTTTTTTTTTTAAAAGAGGTATTCTTTTGTATTTCTCTCACAGGTTTTTAAGCTCACATATGAAGATTGGGACCCTAATTTCTTTGAGGTGTTCATCAAAAAACCAGGGGAAGAATTCACTCTCATACTTGAAAATGCAAGTGGGCCAGTGTGGAGCTGCGATATTCGACGAGGTGTGTGCTCATCTTTTTAGAAACACCATGACCAACACATTATTATGGTGGTCGATAATCTGCTTTTTTTCATTTTTTTTCTTTTTTCCATAGGTGACTATTCTGGTTCTGGATCCTTTGTGCCTGAAATGAGGACATATGGTGAGTCTTTTTGTTTAATTTATTCTTGCATTGATTTGACTGAAAATACTCATCAAAATAAAATATTACTACAGTAAAATGTGAGACATGAGTGTGGACCCAAGACAGAGCTAATTGTTTTGTTACAAATGAGTGATACATGTCACACCAAAGAGGGAAAAATGCATGAGAAGAAGAAAGTCCGAATTTGACATGAAATCATGTTCTTTGATGGGTTTGCTCAATGATAGCGCTATCCCCACAAATTCAAACTATATTCTTTCATGAGACTGGCAGTCTTTGGACTGCAATGTTGAAGATGCTTTCATTTACGATTGTTGTTGGAAGTTGAGTCCCAAAGTTGACCTATTATGTAATCAAAAGCAGAATGTGGGAGGCTTTGAAGTTACTTGGTTTTTCTTTTTCCAGATGACGAGCTTCTGAGAGTGAGAACTGACTTTATGGAGCGGGTCAGTGCCGAAGTTACTTCTCAGTTACTGGATGACCTTTTGGGTGTAGACCTGAACGACGGTGAGAAAGATGCAATAGCAGAGGGGAAAATGATCCCCACGCACAGAGCACGTGCACTGATAGATACGGTAAGGAGGAAAGGACCCGAAGCTTCTCGAAGGATGATCTTTCACTTTGAGCGCAGAGACCGTACACTTCACGCCCTGCTGGGGCTGCCCTCTGTCCCACACCTGTAAGCAGCTAAGATGCCTCGAGCCTCCCTAAAAACTAGAGATGAAATTGTATATAATCATAACACGATATACAGGTATATGATTATACTGGGTTTTCTCCGGGTACTCACATTCCAAAAACTGGCTGAGCGAAGACTCCCTAGGTTTGGGTGCGAGCGCGGATGGTTGTTTGTCTCTGTGTGCCCTGCGATTGGCTGGCAACCGGTTCAGGGTGTCCCCTGCCTACTGCCCAAAGTCAGCTAGGATAGGCTCCAGCATGCCACCGCGACCCTTGTGAGGATAAAGCGGTTCAGAAAATGGATGGATGGATGATTATACTGTCGTGACCGTGGTAGTTTGTGTGAGTGGTTACCATATCCACCTGCACAGTGCTGAGGAAGTTGACAAAAAAAACTTTCGTTGTTGTGTTGGGCTCTTTCCCGGTCCCTTTTTCTCATGATGAGTTAAATGCCTTGCCATTTAGCAACGCAAAATGCGTAATTTCCGATAGGATATAAAAGTTAATATACTGAAAAATACAGTAAGATGTTAAAGGAGCTGAAAGGCTTCGTCAGCATTGTGTGATCTCTCGTAGCGGCTTGGCTGAAAAGTGACTGCTCAGTGCAGCAACAATGGGGACAGCGTCAGCATCAGGCAGAACGAGAATCACCTTTCTATATCATTCCCAAAAATCTCAACTACCTGTATGCCTTTTATCCTGTCATCTCAATGGCATGGCATTATTTTTATTCGAAAAAAGGGAACACTTGGTGTTACATTGTGTTGAGTGTTTCTTTTATTTATTTTTTTCGCAATATATATTTTGTATATATACTTCTAACAGAGTCTATTTTATAATCATCATCTGGCTCATTGTCTGTGTGTTGCTTTATGATACCCATGTTTTTGTAGCTACCACAAGTGCAGCTACTCAGTGTCACCCTTCTACTAAGGTGTCAGAGAACACATCAGTCAATGTCAATGAGGATCAAGGACCGACCACCTTTAGTTGATGCAAAGCCGTTTCTCCTTCGACTTCCATGGAAAAGTGCTAAAAAGTTGCCTGTCTCTCTTTCTTTCTCACTCATAAACATCACATTAACAGAAAATAGCAATACAATAACAGCCTTAACAAGCCTAGGTTACATTTTCAACATGAACTGCGGTTGGGAGGTGACCAGTTCAGAATGTACCCTCCGGGGCCGACCACCCAAAGCGGCTGGGATAGGCTCCAGCATGCCCGTGGCCCTTGTGAGGATAAGCGGTTTTGAAAATGAATAGATGTTTTCAAAATCGAACCTTTCTTTTTATCAGAAGTGACGAGGCAGCTTTCCAAATGTAACCCTTTGAATACACAGTATAATGAGACCTTTAGTGGATATCCCCAGGAGCCCCTAAAACTCTTACGTCGCACTCGTGGTACACGTCTGGCAAATTAATGTTGCCCATGGATGGACAAACGTTCATGCTCAAAGGCCACATTTGATTTTTCAAAAGGACCCATGGGCCAGGCTATTTGTACTTGAGTCAAATAAATCTATACATAAGCAAATAAACAAATAAGATCAGTTAAAATGTGTACCCTACGTAAAATAGTTGCCTTCCATAACTATTGGCACCCCAGGTTAAGATGCACTCATTAACTTATACATATTTTTTTGTTTTTTGTTTGTTTTTCTTTTTAATGTTGGATCAAAAAAAACCCACGCATTCACAAATAATTACATACACCGAATAATGTTTCACAAGTTGGGAGAATACAGAAAGAGGGCTCTTCGATGATTTCTCTTTGCACAATTTCTCTACACTTTAGCGCACGCGTTTTCAATAGGTTTAGGGACTGAGATGTGAACCATTTCTACAAATTTCAGTATGAGGGTCTTGCTTATAAAAATCGAATGCATTTTAAGGATCTTAGCACTCCTTAACTCGGGGTACTCATAATTATGGAGGGCACTGCACAGTTCCGGTGCAAAATTATCTGTCTGTCAACAAGTCTTCAACGAGTGTTTGTCATCTCATGTCATATTTTTGACATGGACACATATGTACATGAAAGTTGACCTCTGGGTTTGACCCACATGCCACTCACATACAAACCCATTCTAAAAGTGTTTGATTTTTACTTTATTATATTTTAAAATTACAGTTTGGAACAGGTTGCGACAGCATTATTGCTCTCGTTCACATTTTATTTCAAATGTCCCCCGCCAAATTTCGACACAGGAGGGTGCTGTTGGCCTGTGTTTGAAATGGCCAGCGGCCGCAGAATGATTACACGAGAAAGACTCAACAATGATCTTCGTGCCTCCTGACGAAAGTTTTGACCGTTTCTTCAATCCTAATCAATATTCTTGGTTCAAAGCTTCATTCCAAGCCAGGTGAAACTTGAGGAAGGTACGATGGAACAATCCTTTGGCTTTGAACTTTGGAAGAAGCTCCTTCTGCGCCATTCACTCAGACAAGGACTGCTGAAAGCCTTGCCAGATGGAATTGAGGAAATATGACTCGTGTGAATGCAAAAAATGTGTTGATACTTTTGCAATAAACTTCTACGTCTCAAAAAGCACTTCATGAGAGCATCGAACTTTTTGGGCGATAGTTGAGGTTTTTTTTTCTCCTCCAATTTGCTGTTGCTCAAATTGCATTTGGCGCCTTTCTGAGGGCAACGGAAACCCAGCTAATTCTTCACAGAAATCCGCTAATAGCAGCCTGACTTGGTCCTTATCCACTACGAATATTGGGGGTTGACTTTTAATTGTAATGCATACATCAGAATATAAATAAATATTCTATGATAGACCACAGTCTAAATGTTGCTGCACATTGACTAGCATGTGTGTGCCGCTGTTACAAATGAGATAAAAGACACATATCAAAAGCTAGCCATGACGTCTGCTAGCCAAATGGTGATCTGTTCTGTATTTGTCTTACAATGTAACTTACCTGTAAGTGCAAGGCAGCTAATCTGTTCTATTTGTAGTTTTTTTTCCTTCTTTTTGCTAAGGAGTTAATCAAAATCTGTTGTCAAAGAATACCTTTTGCAGCTTTAGGACAACCTTATCTTGTCAACCCTGATCTTTGCTCACATCATTATTCATCCAAACTCCATTGAAAGGGAACAGGTTCATACTTCAAAGTTCTCGTTTCTGACTCTCTCTCTGTGGTTTTATTTTTTTATAGCCCCCCCCCCCCTCTGTTTCTCTCTCTCTCTCTCTCTGTCTCTCTCACTTTGACCTGTCATGATCCCAAAGCAATTCTCAGAGGTTGGTTGTCATGTTAGATGGATGAGGCCATCAGCAGACAGCTTGTGGTTGAGACTTATGTTAGCTATGATGAAGGTTCAGCACAAAGTCGCATCAAGAAAATGTGAAATCAACTTCTCAGACTAGGGATACTTGTCCCTACTTCGTCCTTGTGTGAAAACAAATGTTCTTTTTCAGGTGTAGAATTTTTAAATGACAGAAATGGAACATTGAAAGCAACTGTGACTCGCACCTCCACTTGTTGGTTGGGCTTTCTGCATCTTGTTTCGAAGCTGTCATGCATCTCTAGCTCTGTTTAATCAACCCTGGCAGCCAGTCCAGTCCACTATTAGGTCAGCTGCTATTTTAGATGGATGGAGCCATCAGCTGCTTTGACCTTTTCCACCCAAATTATACACTGTTTATGGGCTTCAGTCTAGCATCCTCGCTCTTTTCCCTGAATGGTTTGATCAAAAGGGCAGCATGGTGTCCTCGCGGTTAGTCAATTCTGACTAATGAAGCACAACATTTTAATTTCACTTCTGTAGATATACAACTGTAACGCAAGAGAAAACCCATTGAATGCAAGTGCCATTCAAGAATTGGAAGACACTAGAGCTTCCACCCTGAAATTTCAATCCATCCATGCGCAGAAGACACTGTGTCAATCATTTAAACAAGTGTACTAACAGCCCTTACATTGTGACTATAATTTTGACTCTTATAACTTCTGAACTATCTGTAAATACATGTGTTATCTTTACTATGAATTAAAATCGTGTTTTTGTTCAAAGATTATCTGCCTTTTATGCGAGCTCACGAACACATTATGCAATGTCTCTATAAATGTCCAACTATAGGCTGTGTTGTTCACGCACTTGACGGTTACAAAGGAACACATGTCCCTCGAAAACATTTATTTGTTTGCATTGTTTTGTTTAGCCATTTATTTAGAAAGCCGCTACTGTTGCTTCTTGGTTTTCTACACAGCATTAGTAAAAAACCAGGTAACCATTCTGATATTGGTGAAATATTTGCAAATCTCAATCTGATGAACTCGTCAAATAAATGTTCAGTTGGAAATAAAAGCCCTTGTAGAATTTTTTTATTGGTGTCGTCGTTGCTTGGTACTGTCCCTCTGTAGAGCTGGCCAAATATGACACAAAATGTAACTGTAGCTGTCGTAAAGGTATTCCGAAATATTACTTGAACTAACACCTAACTTTTAAGTGGCTTTTCACTCGTCTCTCCCTCATGATGACTTATCAAAAATGCCAGATAACATAAGTTTTAAATCAGCTTTATTTGGTGTGATTTTTGTTGGTGTGTCTTCCTAGAAATTGTGACATCATTTTGGTTTTAGCAAAGCCACATTTTCAGGAGTCATAATTTTGCTCCAAAATTGTGTTGCTCACCCTACATGCAACCCTGTTACTAAAACCTTCTTTTTCCTTTTATGGAAGAGGGGGGGAAAAAAACAAAACAAAAGCAAAAATTAAGCTGTTTGCTCTGACCACGGGTAGACCGAAGATAAGTCCTTGCTTTCTATTTTTCACGTCTTTTTTCAGTGTCTTCAGCCAGTCACTCAAACCAATGTAACCCTGTTTATCCTCCTAGCGTTACATTGTAAAAGGATGTATTACACACAATTGATTTATTTATTTTATTATTATTATTTTACAATATTCACAAATCTGAAACACGCTGAAAAAAAACTGAGGTGATATTTACTTGGAGGGGGAAAAACCGAGAGTCAAGATCTTTTTTTTTTTACACTAAGAAAATTAAAGTACATTTTACAAGGACAGTTTTTGAAATGTTACTTTTCTGAATTTATAGCCATTCCAATATTCCAAAGATGTGGATGTCCTGATCCAGACCTTCAGTACATAACATGGTTTG